TCGTGCGACGTGAAACTATGCAGGCCGCGTGAGACCGTGTGCGAGCGCGCCCCGCCGGACTCGCCCCCCGCGCCCGCGACCGCTGTCGCTGCCATTTTCTGTACAGGGGGAGGAGGAGGAGGAGGAGGAGGAGGAGGAGGAGGAGGAGGAGGGAGGAGGAGGAGGAGGAAGAGGAGGAGGAGAGAGAGGAGGAGGAGCTCCCGTGTTCACACATTCGGCCCAATATCAACCCAGAAAACGCATTCGTGAACTAAGGGGGGTTAGCGACGCGTTGCGTTAAGCCCTCCGCCTCGCAGCAGCTCCGCGCGTAGCACCCTGCACTCAGTTCAGAGCGCCGTGTTCAACGGTCCGGCCCAGCTTCCACCAAAAAATGGCGTGGCGAACCTGGGGGGGGGGGGCTGGCGACGCGCTGCGCCAAGCCCGCGGAGCACCGTGCACCCCGAGAGCGGCAGGTGGCCATGCAGCGAAGAGGCCGCTGCCAGGCCACTGCGCCGCCTGCTCCGACGCTCGGGAAAGCCGGTGCTGGGCCGAAACCTGGTGGAGTCTCGCCTTGGTCAAGCATCTCCTCGTCATTACTCAGCTTCGTCTCCTTGCTGCCTGGAGGTTGCAGGTTGCTGGCCCGGAGACTTCTTCAACGCATCCTTGACCTCTTCTGCCATGTGACGTTGATGTGCCCCCCGCGCCCGCGGGGCGCTGGCGCGGCTCGACGCGGCCTCGCCGCCACCTCGCTTTGATCAGGGACCGACCGTCCCCGCATTCCTGTAGGCCTACCACGCAATGTTCTTAGAGCAAAACATGGTTCCCATAAGAAAAGCACTGTTCTACTAAGATTAAGCGAGCGCGGTAAAACAGGACCGTCCCAGCAGGAAGTGCTCCAAGAATTTTTCGCGCAAGCAACACACAAGGTTACCAGAGCATTCTTTGGTGGGCCCATCGGCAAGCCAGGACGCTTCGACACTGCTCGGTCGCTCCGGCGCTCGGTCCGACACGTGGCACCACGGCGCGGCACGGCACCGCGGCACCACGCGGCACAGCACCGAGCAAAACGGCACGGCAGGGCGGCGCCGGCGCGGCCAGGCCCGCCGACGCGTCGAGGCTCTTCGCTGCATGGCCACCTGCCCCCCGCACGCACGGGGGCGCTCGCGCGTCTCGACGCGGCCTCGCCGCCGCCTCGCTGCGACCTCGCCCCGATCGCGGCGAGGCCGCGCTGGGGCGAGGCCTCGGCGACGAGAGGCCCGCGGCCGCAGCCGCCAGCAGGCCCCCCGCCGCGGGGGGGGGCACTGCCGCGACGCCAGCGAACACACCCATGATTGCCACGACCACCAACACGACGACCACCACGGCCACCCTGCGACAAGACACGACCACTTTCGCGGCCGCCACCTAAACACGGCGCGCCCTGCCACGACCACCACGACCACCACCACCACCTGCACGACAACCGCCCCGACCACTACGGCAGGATACGGCCACCATCACCACGGTCACGACCACACTCACCACCACGACCGCCACCACGACGACGCAACGACCCCCCCCGCTGTCACCAGGCCTCCGGTCCTTCCCTCTTGCCCAGTCGCCCCTGCCCGCAGCTTTCGCATCCTTTCCCCAGAAACTGGTGAACGAATGAGAAACAGCTGTCTGGCCAGGGAGTTGTTTTCACGAGTTCCCACAAATGGTCGACGTTTCGCCGTATGCTGCGAAGGAGGCTAGATATAGGACCAGAACCTCATTGCCGAGGGATCCCCCTACGTGACGGGGGTGAGGACCCACTCGTCGGGTGTCCACGCGCTGAGTTGCGAGGGAGGGCGCGAGAAGGGAGGGAGAGAGAGGGAAGGAGGAGGGGGAGGGGGCGAAGACGGCGGAGCGAGGAGGAAAAAGGGAGGAGAGGGACGAGAACGGCGAAGGGAAGGGCGTCGGGCGTAAAGAGGTGGCGGACGGGGTCTCGGAACCCGATGACGCGGATCGTCACGCCGTCGTACGCCACCTGGGGCGAGCGGCGAGAGGCACGCGCGCTCCCCTGCAGAGGCAACCACGGGCCAGGGCAGGCAGAGGCGTACACGAATCGAGTGCTGCCAAGGTGTCGCTGGCCCAGGGTGCCTCCCTCCTCCCTCCTCAGGAGGCCCAAATGGCCTCCAGAGCGCCCCCTATCACGAGGCCCAGCGGAAGGGCCCACCTCTGGCAGCACCCGAGCGAGGCCGGCGGCCCACTCCCAGCGCCGTGCCCGGAGGGCAGTGCTCCCGTCCCTTCGGCCGCCAACGCCCTTTTCGGCACCAGCTGCTGCCCGGAAGCTCGAAGCACAGACAGACGTGTGGGGGCCACGAGCTGAAAACACACACACACACACACACACACAACACACACACACGCACGCACGCACGCGCACGCACACACGCATACACACACACACACACACACACACACACGATCGCACACACACACACACACACACACACACACACACACACACACACACACGCACGCACGCACGCACGCACGCACGCACACACACACACACACACACACACACACGCACACACGCACACACGCGCGCACACGCACACCCACACCCGCACACACGCGCGCACACGCACGCACACGCACGCACATGCACACGCACACGCACACCCACACGCACACCCACACACACACACACGCACACACACACACACACACACACACACACACACGCAGAGACGCACACGCACGCACGCACGCACGCACGCACGCACGCACGCACGCACGCACACATCCGCGGGGCCGGCGTGCCTGGCCACACGGCGGCCGCGCGCATGGAAGATCTGGTCCGGGGCGGCCACGCCTTGCGTGCCCACCTTCCTGGCTCTCGAGTTAGGAAAGGAGTATGGTCAGAGTGAAGGGGCCGAACGGTCATTCATTGTCCCTGGGCGCGTGGCTCTAATGGGGATCTGTGGCATCTGTGGTGAGGATTCTGCCTGTTGCGTTGTTGTTGTTTGTTGTCGTCGTCCCCCCTGCGACCCACCCCGCGACCCACCCGCGACCCACCCCGCGACCCACCCCGCGACCCACCCCGTGACCCACCCCGCGACCCAGCCCGCGACCCACCCGCGACCCACCCGCGACCCGGCCCACGACCCACCCGTGACCCACCCGCGACCCACCCCGCGATCCACCCACAGTGCTTTAACGAAAAAATCGGCACCTGCGGCGGGCTCAATGCATAATGTATAAAGTTAGGCGCCTCGCAGACTGAGGACGTCCTCGCCCTCGCAGCCCCCTCACTCTATGTGCAACTGCGGAGTGTTACGTACAAAAGGGTGTGGTGCTAATTTTATGTAAAGGGGACTCGAAAGTCGAAGGTCGAAGGCCGGCGTGCGCCGGAGCGCGCCCTGCTCGGGCTGCCGGAACGCTGCTTCTCACACGTTCTCACAATCCCAACTTCTTAACTGCTGATGACGTCGTCGGCCCTTTCAGCAGCCGGCCTGGCGCCCGGCGCCCGGCCGGCGTCCAATCCAGCACTGCTTTCGACCACCTGCCATCTGTGCTGCCGACGGTCTTCTGTAGCAAAGCGGCTTTGCGACGCTTCTGTGATTGTACCCAAGATTGAAAACCTGCTTTTTCGAACTGAGCCAGCGCCTTATGTGTTGAGCGGCAGATCTATTACACGTACGACTCATCAACTTCACCAGCAGCTGTTGCTCTCCTCGGTGGGGAACCCAGCCGCTGGCAGAAGGGCTGCCCACCATGGAAGCCCCAGACGGCGAAAGCGATGGAAAACGTTCGAACACCTGCCTATGATAGGTAGGTGTTCGAAGCCTGCTCGGGGCCTTCTTCGGGCTCGTTCTCCACCGCCCACGGCCTCCTCAGGACCCCCCGAGAGAGCCCTCAAAAGCCCCCCAAAAGGTGCCCTGTGAAAGGCCCCCGACGGTGTCGCACGAATGCGGCTTGGCACGATATCGCGGAAGCCCTTTTGGGGACTTCTTGAAAGAGTAGATTGGGGTTCTCCTCAGGCCTCCAGGGCACCCTGGAAGGCCCCGAAAGACGGCCTGTATAATACCTGCGCGCCCGATACAGGAACGAAGAACTCGGAACCTGCCGCGGGAACCAGCGGCGCCCTGCGTAAAATCACTGCCCGCGCGAGACAAAACTACAGGGCACGCCAGGCCGGGGCAGGCCACGAAGCGTTCACTCGCCGCTCAGCTCGGGCACCGCTGCGCACCGGGGGTGAGCGATTCGAGGAACACCACAGTAAGGCACAGAGTACGGGGGGGTCGACAGTCGAGAAAGTCGGACGTGTTCAATGTAAAGTACTTGATCGCTGATACTGGCTATACAAAAACTCTAGTGATAAGGAGGCTGTGGGGGGAGGGGTTCAGCTTTCGTTGTGCGAGTGGGGTCGGCTCGGATTCGGCGGGAACCAATTGGGCCCCAGAGCACTACCGATGGTGTCCCGATGGCATTCTTGATAACCATCAGGAATCATCGGGGCAACCAGCGGAGCAGGTGGCATGTGTTAACTCGCGCCCTACTTCGTTTAGAAGGCACGGCGAACATACAAGGCAATACGCTTGCCCACCTCTTTCTCCACAGGGGGGCACACAACGGGAATCACCGGGGCAACCAGCAGAATCAGGTGGCATGTATTTGCCCGCGCGCTGTTAGCTTCAGAAAGTTATACTCAGAGCATCCAAGACCGCGGGACACCGCACAACACCACGTGACACCACGGGACTACACTGTCAATATCCCGGTCGATCCCCCCAACCGAAATCCCCCTGGTCTAAATGCCGATGTCACGATCTATCGACTCTACCTTCCATCTCACTTTCTACCTCACGATGGATCTCGCCATCGATCCCACGATCGATATATCTATATATATATATATATATATATATATCGATGCCACTATAATCTCGATCCCTACATATGCACTGATCTGTCTATCGATCTCACTATCGATCTCGCACTCGAATACACTGCGAGACACCAAAGCATCGGGGCAACCAGCGGAACCAGGTTGCATGTATTTGCCCGCGCGCTGCTTCCTTCAGAAATACATACGGGGAACAGGACACCAAAAAACACCACAGGACACCACGGGACGCCACTATCGATCTCACGGTCGATCTTACTATCTACCGAGATCCCCCCCCACAGCCTCCGATCGATCGCCTTCATCATTCAGCAAGCATGGCCCCAGAGAATGTGTCGAGGCTTCTACTGGCCCACGTCATGACACAAATCAGTGCGTCGGGGGTCTGGCCGTCACGGCGCCGAGTCTGGCGATGCTGCCTCAGCGTCTGGGAAAGGGCAGCTCACTGGGGAGCAATGGCCGGGGCGGCGATCGCTCGCACACGGCGCCTGCGACGCGGGCACCGGCCCAATCAGTCTGTGGTGGCTCGGCGGGCCACGATTTCCAAAAGCGCCAACTCGGGCAGAGCATGGTGGGAATCGCACTGCCAAACAGATGCAACTCTAAGACCATACCGTCTCGAGGCCCAAGGGTCGCTCCATGCAGGAGACGACACAAGGCTGCGATCGTGCAGAGGGCTAGCAAGTAATGCAGCGCACTAAAACTACACGCGCTGCAGAGAGAAATAACTGCCCGACTCACTGCGAGGGGCCAATCCTGCCCCCCAGCTCCGCCTGCCCCTCCCCATCGGCATACCCCTACCCATCTTATCGTCCTCAACCTTCTGCCGCTCATCATCATCATCATCATCATCATCAGCATCATCATCATCATCATCATCATCATCATCATCATCATCATCATCATCATCATCATCATCATCATCATCATCATCATCATCATCATCATCATCATCATCATCATCATCATATCAGCAGCAGCAGCATCAGCATCATCACCATCATCACCAGCAGCAGCAACAGCAGCAGCAGCATCACCATCAGCATCATAATCATCATCAGCATCATCATCATCATCATCATCAGCAGCAGCATCATCAGCATCATCAACATGATTGGCATCATCATCATTATCATCAGCAGCAGCATCATCTTCATCATCAGCAGCAGCAGCAGCCGCAGCAGCAGCATCATCATCATCATCATCATCATCATCATCATCATCATCATCATCATCATCATCATCATCATCATCATCATCCTAATCAGCATCATCATCAGCATCAGAATCATCATCATCATCAGCAGCAGCATCATCATCAGTATCATCATCAGCATCACCATCATAATCAACAACATAGGTGGCATCAGCATCAGCAGTATCAGCATCATCAACATAATCGTGAGCAGCATGATCAGCATAATCAGCATCATCCTCATCCTCATCATCATCATCAGCAGCATCAGCATCGTGAGCATCATCATCAGCAGCAGCATCGTAATCCTCGTCAACTTTCTCATCCCCATCCTCACCATCATCCTCAGCATCATCATCAGCAGCAGCATCATCATCCTCATCCTCATCCTCCTCATCATCATCATCCGCATCATCGTCATCAGCGTCATCATCTTACTCATCCTTCTCTTCCTTCCCGATGTCATCCTTCTCATCCTCGTCTAGCATCATCGGGCCTTCCTTCCCCCCTGCTTCGCCTCCCTCATCCCTGTCCTTCCTCATCCTCCGCCTCCTCCCGATCGTCGTTATCACTCTTCCTATCATTGCCCATTTCCCTCCTGCTCCTGGTCCTGATCCTGCTCCTCCGCCGCCTCCTCCTCCTCCTGCTCCTCCTCCTCCTCATCCTGTTCCTCCTCATCCTCATCCTCATCCTGAACCCCCCCCCTCATTCTCCCCATCCCCATCTCATCCTCCTCCCTCCGTCCCCTCGCCTCTCCCTCCCACTCCTGGCCTGCACGCCCAGCTTGTCGGCGGGGGAGCGCTTCTGGAGGGCGACGGTAAACTCCTGGGCGGCCGCGCAAGCTCCAGAGCACTCCCGCACAGGCCTCCCCACCGGGGGCAGGGCCAGCTCCCCTCGCCCTGCTAAAACGCAAGCAAGATCGGGATAAAGTCGCGCCCGATCGGGTTATCTCTGAGATCCAGCGATTCTGAGGGTTGTATCGGGCGCCACGTCCATGTCAGAGATTTCCAGAACGCACTGAGAGCGTTCTGGAACGCTCAGGAGCGAGTTGTCCCGATCCTGGACCCGATGTGCCTGCCCATTTCTCGCGCGTCGCCGACGGGGGATGGGTGAGCCTTTAGAAGAGTCAGACACCCCGCTGCACAGGCCCCCCACACTGGTCGGTGCGCAACGTGAGGCCAGGGGCAGGGGGCCCCTGGCCCATCGAGAAGCCCGTGCCGTCGTCAATTGGACTCTCCAATCGTATGCACATCAGCTCAGACGCACGAAGAGACACAAAGGCAATAAGATGCGTGAGCCAACGTTTTCCACCAGGCATCGCGCAGCGCCACAGGCCCGCGAGACGTCATTGAGCACCTGCTGGGTTGCAACCTCTGGGAACACTCCTGGCGCCTAATATGGAAAGGCGGTGTCCCAGCGAGCCCAAACAAGGTACGGATCAAGGCAATCGCGTTTCATCGCCAATTCGAGGAGGGCGCAAGACGCCGTGTCTGCGCGCGGGCATGCACGTTCGACGTCAGCGGTGTTGGGCTTCAGCCACATATCGGGCCCCTGATCTGGCCGAGATCGGCACGTTGGCCGAAACGCCTACCACGGGCATCCTTGCTGTGTCGGCAATCGCCTGGCATCTCCGCCAACGCACGGTTCGAGGGACCGCTCCCTTCTAAGAGAGCCCCCCCCCCGCCTCCTTGCCGGGCTGCCACCCTCGTCGTGGCCCCTTCTCCAGAGACGACGATGGGGGCGAACAGCCCAGGGGCGGGCATGACACGCATTCGCCGGGGATCGGGCGCACGCTGACATGGATCGGGGAAGGCACCCCCGACACATGAGGCCAATGCCGCCTCATTTGGCGACAGCGCGCGCCGAAGTGCATATGGAAACGGGACCAGTCGCCAATCCACGCGCCCTACATCCTTGCTAGCGCGCCCTCGAGGGGAGCCTCGCCGAGGGTTTCTCCGGGCTTCTCTCGCGCTTCTCCGGGCGTGTCCAGGCTTCTCCAGGCTCCTCCAGGCTTCTCCAAGCTTCTCTGGGCTTCTTTGGGCCTCTCCGGCCCAGCATCTCTGGAGAACGCCCCCCCCGTAGTTTTGATGCATGCGCCGAGGACATGGACCACCAGTTGGCGGCGCGCACAAGGGGAAGGAGGGAGGGCTTCTCTTAGAAGGAGGCTGCTCCTCAGAAGGCGGCGGCCCTGTATCTGCAGATAAGGCCCGCGCCTTCTAGGAAGCAGGGGTGCTTCTAAGAAGCCCTCCCCCCTCCCCCCACCCCCCTCTGCGCGTGGCTGAACCAGCGCCCACAGATACAGTTCGGCGGTGGACAAACCTCCCTTTAATAAACCACCCCTTAAGTGCAAACGGCCTGGGGCCGAAACCGGCAGACCTGGACCCGCAAAAATGACGGCCGCGACGCCCTCTCGCGTGCCGAAAACGGCCAATCCGCTATTCGACGTGTCGGGGCAGGAGGTCTACCAGCCTCCGAACAGTGTGCTGCCCCCTCCCTGGGCTGCTCGCCCCATCTTTCGGGGAACAAGAAGTGACCTAAACATAAACACTCGGAGGTCCGCGCGGATTCCTCGGATCGGCGCTGGGGCCCCCCTCGGCGGAGCCTCCGGCGCCGCCCCTGGCGCGCTCCGCGCGCCGGGGAGGGGGGTCCAGCGCCGATCCGAGGAATCCGCGTGTCTATGTTCATGTTTATGTTTATGCCACTTCTGTTCCGATCCAAGGTCTTATGCTTATACCGATCCGATGCGAGAAATCCGATCCGGGACCTCCGAGTCTTTACGGCAGGTTCGTGTCGTGCCGACCCCAGCGTTGGTTTTTGACACCGCAGGGATCGTTCAACCTTGAACGATCGGCCGCTGCCGCAACGTCCGATCGTTCAACATCGATCGATTCCGGGTCGCCGGCGGCGTTCAACCTTGAACGCCCGCGCTGGGGTCGCCGCCGGTCGACACGACGCGAACCTTCCGTACGCCACTGCTTGTTCCCCTACTGTCGCCGCCTCCAGCGCCTGCGCGCCTGGCCCGGCGGTCCCAAGCCGAGGGCGCCCCCGAGGGCGCGCGCCAGCGGCCGAGGGCTCCTCGGCGGCGTTCTCCCAGCGGCCCAAGGAGGCCCCCAAGAGGCCTCCAAGAGGCTCCCAAGATGCCCCCTCCTCCTCATCCTCCTCCTCCTCCTCCTCCTCCCTCTTCCTCCTCCTCCTCCTCCTCCTCCTCCTCCTCCTCCTCCTCCTCCTCCTCCTCCTCCTCCTCCTCCTCCTTCTCCTTCTCCTTCTCCTTCTCCTTCTCCTTCTCCTTCTCCTTCTCCTTCTCTCTCGCATCACCCAAGAATTCCAGGAACGAGGGGGCTGGCTCGAGCCAAAAGCCTACAACAGAACCCCGACTCTGGAGCAGGTTCCACCGCTTGCCCCCTCTTAGGGGCAGTCTGGGGCGAGGAGCCAGGGATTGGAGACGCGCTGGCCCTAAGGCCAGAGGGGCTTGCCGGACACCAGGATCCTCGACGACGTCCTCCGTGGACTCGACCCGCTCGCTCATGAGCGGCGCCTGCGCGCAGCAAGCGGCCGCCCCGCGCTTGCCGCCGCGCCGCGCCGCCGCTGCCTAGCCACCGCCACGCCGCCGCGGCCGCGCGCTCCGCGGGTCATACGATGGGGCCACTTGCCTCCCCTCAAGACGACGCCTGGACGAGGACAAATTCGGGTGAGGATAATGCGAGGAGAATCTCTGAGATCCGGCGGCTCTGGAGGAGGTATCAGGCGCCGCGGCCTTCTCAGAGTGCCCCCAAACGCTCTGAGAGCGTTCTGGAACGCTCTGGAACGGATTCATCCTCGTCCTCGCCCCGTCCGACCCCCCACCCAGGGGAAACCAAAGGTACCGATACAGCTACTCCACAGACCTCTCCTGGGGCGCGTTCTGACCAGGATTTGGCGGCGAATCCAGCGGTGGCGACGAGGGCCTCCCAGGAGGCCCGAAAGGGGGGAAAACGAGGGAAGGGTAGCGGTATGGGTACCTCTTCCTCCTCTGACCCCCGCCGCCCCCGACGTCTTGGCGGATAGGGGAAGCGGGGAAGGCGTCTTAGAAAGAGACTGCTCCTGAGAAGGCGCCGGCCCCACGTGTGCAGAGAAGGCCCGCGCCTTCTGAGAAGCAGGGGTGCTTCTCAGAAGCCTTCCCCTGCCCCGTATGCCCCCCTTTACGCGTGGCCGAGACCTCCCTCCTTGTAAATCGCATTTCATGACCGTACCCAAACACATCGGACTCTAACCATGCAGGTCCATGACAATTGAGCGCTGACCTTGCCAGCAGGGCACTTGCCGTGGCAAGCAACGCTGCGCTGCTGTCTGAGGGACCTGATCTGGAATATTGTTTTGCAGCATCAGTGGTGTGTGTGGTGGACTTGCCCTGGTACTCCTCCGCAGCATCCTCCGAATTACCCTCACCCTCGCTCTCCTTCTCCTCGCCCTTTCTTCTGCTGCCGATCCTTATCCATCCCACAACCGTCATTATCCGTGCCTCCTCCTGCGTCTTCTCCTCCTCCTCCGCCCTTCTCTCCTGCCCCGCTCCTCCCCTCCCTCTTCCCCCCGGGACCCTTCCTCCTCGAGAACGGGGGACTGTGGCGGCCCTCGACTTTCGGATGGTGTTTCCGTATGGCTTTCCTAAGGTTATCGCATCCTTCATCCTCGTCCTCCTCTTCCTCCTCGTCCTCCTCCTTCTCTCTCCTCCTCTTCCTCCTCCTCATCCTCGCACAACTCCTCGTCGTCCTCCTCCGCCTCCCAAAAGGAGCACTGGCTTTCTTGTGTTGCTACCAAAAAACAAAACACAACAAAAAGCTTGCGTCATACCGACTTGTTGTGTTGGGTGGGTGGGTGGGTGAGTAGGAGAAAAATCCTCTGTGGCGCTGTCCAATGAAATCCTTTTTGCGCGGACTTCCCATAGAATCCCTTTGGTGTGTTCTTCTCCAAATAAGCTTGCCCTATAAGAGTCCTAGCTCATCGTAAGTAACTGGTTTTTAGCACCCCCCCTTTCTAATGGCACCCCCCTTTTTCCAATGGCACCCCCCCCTCTTTCCAATGGCACTTGCTTGCTTGCTCTTGCGTGCTTGCTCTCGCTTGCTTACTCTTGCTTGCCCTTGCTTGCGTGCACTTGATCGCTGGCTCTTGCTTGCTTGTTATTATTCGTTTGCGCTTGCTTGATTCCGCTTGCTTACTTGCGCTTGCTTGATATTGCTCCTCCCGTTCTCCTCCAGCCCGTCCTGCTCCCGTCCTCCTTTCGTCCTCCTCCCATCCTCCTCTCATCCTCCTCCTGTCCTCCTATCTACGTGGAGTCAACGCTGGCTGATATCAAAGGGATTCCTGTTGAGAGGCGTTCCAATAGAATTCCCTCTGCGGAACTTTTCAAAGGATTCCTTTTGAGGGTTTCCCATCGAATTTCTTTGTCGTGTTTCCAAAGGGTTCCCACTGTGACGGTTTCTACCTCCTTCCCTGCCCCCCCCCCAAAAAAAAACAAACCGAATGTTTAATGATGTGTTTGTTGTTTCTTTTCCTTGTGGGGGGGGAGAAAAATCTGTCGTGGCGCTTTCCAATGAAATCCCTTTGTGTGGATTTCCTAAAGAATCCTTCTGGGGCGTTTTCCAATGGATGCCTGTTGAGAGGCGTTCCAATAGAATTCCCTGTGTGGCGCTTTCCACAGGATTCCTCGTGTGAGGATCTCACATAGAATCACATCTGTGGTGTTTCCAAAGGATTCCCACTGCGACGGTTTCCAATAGAATGCCGTTGTGGTGCTTTCCACATGATTCCTGTTGTGATGTTTTCCCACAGAACACTTTCGTAGTGCTTCTCAATGGATTCCGTTTTGCGAGGCTTTCCGATGGAATCGCGTTGTGGTGTTTTCCGACGGATTCCTTTTGTGATGCTTCCCTGTGGGATCTCCTTTTCGTGCGTTCCAAAGGATTCCTGTCATGACGCTTTCCCATAGACACCGTTTGCGGCGCGTTCCAAAGGATTCCCACTGCGAGGAATTCCCGTAGAAACCAGCTGCGGTGCATTCCAAAGGATCCTTGTTGCGAGGCTTTTCAATCGAATATTTGCGTGGTGCTTTCCTCAAGAATCCTGTCGTGAGGCGTTCCTATGGGATCCCTCTGCGGCGCTATCCAAAAGATTCCTGTTGTGAGGCTTCACAGTTGAATCCCTCTGTGATGCGTTCCGAAGGATTCTCTTTTGCGCGGTTTTCACATAGGACCCCTCACTGGCACTTTCAAAAAGTAAAATTTTCTGGTGTGAGGCTTTCCCATGGAGTCCCAGTGTGGTGCTTTCGCACGGATTCCCACTGCGACGGTTTCCAATAGAATGCCTTCGTGGTGCTTTCCAATTGATTATTGTTGTGAGGCTTTCCACTCGAATTGTTTCGGGTGCCTCCCAATGGATTCCGATTGTGAGGGTTTTCCCATCGAATCTCTTGTTGATGCTTTCCAAAAGGATATTTGGTGCTGCTTCCGAATAGAACCTCCTCGTGGTGCTTACCAAAGGATTCCTGGTGTGATGTTTTCCATAGACACCGTTTGCGGCGCGTTCCAAAGGATTTCCACTGCGAGGACTTCCCGTCGAATACCCCGGTGGCGATTTCCAGAGGATCCTTGTTGCGAGGCTTTTCGGTAGAATCTCTGTGTGGTGCGTTCCACAGGAGTCCTGCCGTGAGGCTTTCCAATAGAATCCCTCTGCGGCGCGATCCAAAAGATTCCTGTTGCGAGGCTTCCTGATTTAATCCCTCCTGTTACTGTCCGATGGATAATTGTTTTGTGCGGCTTCCCTATATGAGCCCTCAATTGTACTAAAGGTTTTCTAGTGCGAAACGTTCCGGGGGAAACTCTCTATGGTGCTTTCCGATGGGCTCCTTGTTGTGTGGCTTCCCAATAGGAACCCCTTAGTGACGCTTCCCATTTGAATAGAATTCCTGCGTGGTGCTTTCCAAAGAATCCCTTGCGTGGTACTTTCCAGAAGGAGCCCGTCGCAGCGTTTGACACAGGTTTCCTCTGGTGACGCTTTCCTGCAGGAGTCCTTCGTGCTGCTTTCCAAAGGATTTCTCTTGCGAGACTTTCCACTACAATCCCTGCGTGGTGTTTTCCATAAGGATTCCTGTTACCAGGCGCTCCGATGGAATCCATATTGTTGCGCTGCTCAGAAGATCTCGATTGCGATTTCGTGCAGTAAAACTTGTTAGATCCCTTCTCAAGGGGGTCCAGTTGTTTGTTCCCACAGAATCCTTCCTGGGGCGCTTTCCAAAGGATTACAGCTATGATTGTTTCTAACAAAATGCGTGCTGATAGACAGAGTTTTCCAGATGATCCCTGTTGTGAGGCCATACAATGAAGTTCCTGTGTATCGTACAGTGTTCCAAGCCCGAGGCTGTCCAATCGAACAGTTTGTGCTGTGCAAAAAGATCCTCCTGTGATGCTTCCTAATGGAAGCCCTCAGCAGTGCTTTCCAAATGGCTCCGATTATGAGACTTTCCCATAGAATCCCTTGGCAATGATGTCCAGCGGATTCCTGTGGACATAGCCTGTGCTTCGTTTTCGAGAGGGATTCGCTTGTAATGGTTAAGGAAGGAGATGCATATAATGTGTATGCGACAGAGAAAGGCAAAAGGAGAAAGCGAGAGAGGAAATAGAAGGATAATGGTGAAGACAAGGCTGGAAGCTCGTAAAAACTCCTCTGGCGAAATTCCAGCCCCATGCCGTGTGGCACAGGGCTGGATTTCCGAGGGCCATGCTCGGGGGGCATTTTTGTTGTGAAGAGGCTGGCGAAGAGTGAGAGAGAGAGAGAGAGAAACAAAAAAAGAGAGAGAGAGAGAGAGAGATGGAGAAGAAGAGAAGAAGAAGATCACGATAAAGAGAACGAACAAATCACGAAAACACTGCAAACAAAACATTCAAAACAGCGAGGGCCGCCACAGTCCCCTGGCCTCGAGTCCCCCCATCCCTTCCCTGGGCCCTTCCCTCCCGCCTCTTCCTCCCCCCCCTCCCTCCCCCCGCCCCATGCTCCATCCACCCCAGACCCCATCTCCCCTTGGCAGCGCGCACGAGGGGCGAGGGGCGCGACCTTCCACGGAACGGGGCCTCCTGGAAGCCTCATTGGTTGAAGGTCGCGCCCCCTCGAGACCCCTCGATCCTCCTCCATCCTCGATCCTCGATTCTCGATCCTTGATCCTCGATCCTTGATCCTCGATCCCTGATCCTCGATCCTCCTCGATCCTCGATCCGACTGGCTGCTTGGATCACCGCTTAGGTTGCTAAGGTGGTTTCTGAGAAGGCTTCCTGGACCGCAAAGCCCCTGCCTTCTGACCCACCCTTACAACAACAAATAACGCCAAACGCCCGCGTGCAAGCCGCCATCATCCTTGGGATGGGGGAAAATGGTCCTGACTGAAATGCGTCCTGTTCTTCATCCCGAGTCGTTTTCTGGCGGGGGCCCGGGGAGTGCCTCGAGAGCCCAAAAACCGAAAGAACTCGGGACCCGTGTCCATCAGGACCCGCCTGCCTCATGGCGACACCCCCCCGTCCCACTTTCTCGCCGGCGCACACGAAAAGGGGAGATTTCCGTGGCAAATCAGCTCGCGTAGCTGATTTTCCTGGAGCGCCCAAGCATCGGGGAAAGCGCCCGGCGGCTGGGCCGAAACCAGCCGCACGGGGCAGACTTCGCACCCCCCCCGTCCCAAGCCCTCCCTTTCGTCCGACCCGATCTTGATCCTCCCCGTGAGCCCTTCCCTCCCTCCTCGCTCCACTGGATGTGGCGGGGGAGGCGCCTTGGGCTCGCCGCCGAGCCTGCCCGCCGGCGGTCTCCTCGTCCTGCCCCCGGCGGAGGGCCAGCTGAGACGTCGGCAGCGCCCCTCACCACCCCTTTGCCCCCCGCCCCAGTCCTCCCTCTTTCGCAACCTCCTGCTCCACCTCCCTCCTCCTCCTCCTCCTCTTCTTCCTCCTCCTCCTCCACCTCCTCCACCTCCTCATCATCCTCCTCCTCCTCCTACTCCTCCTCCTCCTCCTCCTCCTCATCCTCCCGTTCCTGCTCCTGCTCCTGCTCCTGCTCCTGCTCCAGCTCCTGCTCCTGCTCCTCCTCCTCCTCCTCCTCCTCCTCCTCCTCCTCCTCCTCCTCCTCCTCCTCCTCCTCCTCCTCCTCCTCCTCCTCCTCCTCCTCCTCCTCCTCCTCCTCCTCCCTTTATCCTTATAAACAACTTCCCCTGTCGCACGCCGAAGCCAGATGTTAGGGCGGGCCGGACGTTTCGCCTGAAATTACCTCACCATTCGCGACCCTGAAGTTTAAAGGTCAGCAGCTGTTTCATTGATGGAGGGCGGGTGGTTTTCAAAATGTGGCTCTCGCCTTTGCGCCGCGCACATTCGTTCTTAATTGCAACAGTTTCACGGATTGAGGGCGGGTCGTTTTCAAAATGTGGCTATCGCCTTAGCGCCGCGCACATTCGTTCTAAAAACTTGCAAGCGTTTCACGGAATTA